GGAGGAGGAGGAGGAGGAGGAGGAGGAGGAGGAGGAAGGGGGAGGCGGGGGAGGAGGCTCATGTTAAGCGCGTTGGAGGCGAGTCCGAACGGCGGCCCCTGCACACGCAGGAGGCCGTGGGGGCTTTCTTCAAGCGCCTCTGCGAGGAGGAGGAGGATGAGGAGGAGGAGGAGGAGGAGGAGGAGGGGGATGGGGAGGAGGAGGAGGAGGAGGAGGAGGAGGAGGAGGAGGAGGAGGAGGAGGACGGGTCGCCTAAGCCCTTCGGAGGAACCCTCCGCGTGGCAGCGAGGGCACTCCAGGAGCTTCCGCAGCAGCGTGCAGTCCTGGCGCCACCGTCGATTCGGAGCGCCCGTCGGAGGGGACCGAAGGGGCGCTCTATTGGCCCTGGCGAGCCTGGGCCACTAGAAGGGGCTCCCCCACCCAGATTTGGGTCGGGCATGTCCTCCTGCAGGCGGATTCTGGATGATTTTTTTGGATAGTCAACAACAAATGTGCTCCCAAGTGGTCAACAGTCATCGAAGCATCGTGCCCCGACTATTTTTCGGACTAGTTTGGAATAAGAGGGGCGTGCCCGACTTAAACCTAGATCGACGGAATGACACGAAAATCAGGGCCCCTCCTGAACCCTGATGGGGTCCTTGTTTCAGCGTCTTGGCTGCATTATCAGAGGCAACGCCGCGCAAAGACATGGATCCTCGAGCACCTCTCCATCCGAAGCACCTCGAACCCAATCATAAGCCGTCGACACCATGTACTGCTCAGCACCTCGTACCATGACGTGAATGGAAGCTTGTTGGCTTTGCAATGCTCTCGATCCTAAAACTGTTCGAAGCCCCTAGTGGTTCTCAAGAGGTCCCAAGAGGCACACAATAGGTCCTCAGGAAGCCTGGAGGGGCCCCCAAGAGGCTCCCAAGGGGCCGCCAAGAGGCTCTTAAGAGGCCCCAAAAATTTCTCCCCAGAGGCCCCTGAGAGCCTTCAGAAGAGACCCCAAGAAGCATCCCTGTGGACTCTGGCCCACGTTAACGTCGTCGTCACTTTTACCGCCGCCGCCGCCGCCGTTGTCGTCGTCGTCCCCCTTCAGGGTCGGCGGCAACGGCCGCAATGGGGAAACCAAAGGGTACCTATACAGCTAACCTCTCCTGGGGTACGTTCTGACCAAAATTTCGAACCGAATCCAACGGTGGCGACGAGGGCCTCCCAGGAGGCCGAAAAAAATGAAAACGAGCGGAAGGCAACAGTATGGGTACCCTGATGTACTCTTCGGCTACACGCAAGAGCGAGCCTGGGCAAAACCGACAGTTGGTGCGCGGCTTCACGGGGGACGCGGGGTGGCCAACACACGAGCGCGCAAGACACCTCCCTCGCACCGCACGCGGGGCGATCGGGAGGCCTCCGTGGGCGCGCACCACATGGCACTTCGGCGAAAGGTCACTGCGCCTGTTTTTGTTTCAGCATTCCGCTAAATTCACTTGCGTGGAAGGGAGGGTTATGTTGCTCCCATCGTACTTACGGAGACCACATCCCAGAAATCATGTCGAGCACCAGGAAAAGGGTCGAAAGGGTGTCGAGGCAGTGTCGAAACAATGTCGGGCGAGTGTCTCCCAGGGCCCGACACGTGAAAACCCTGGAGTTTTGATTTATTTTGTGGTGCTCGCAATTCTTCCAGGTGATCAAGGCTAAAGTAGGCTGGAACATCATACAAAGGGAGGGGGAGGTCTGCACCTGAGGCCAGCCGCAAACGACCTGCACGTGCGGAAAGCACGCAAGCTGAAAGGAACTTGCACGCGAGTGTTCGTCGGAAGAGGGGCGAGGTGCACGGTTTCCCCCCAGGGCCTTAGGCGACCCGAGGAGGACGAGGAGGAGGAGGAGGAGGAGGAGGAGGAGGAGGAGGAGGGAAGAGGGGAGGAAGAGGAGGAGGAGGAGGAGGAGGAGGAGGAGGAGGAGGAGGACGAGTCGCCTAATTAAGCCCTTCGGAGAAACCCTCCAGGGCGAGGGGGCGGGGGGGGGGGGGGCGAACGCCCTGCAAGCAGAGTTGCCCGAATCTGAAAAAAAACAAGCTCCTGTAGGGGTGACTGTGGCTCCCGAGACCCCCGACGTCATAATTCCCTACCATCCTGTGGTGTTGGGTCCTCGTTTTGAAGAGACGGTGCCCCGCGTTCTCCTTCCTTCCTTCCTTCCTTCCTTCCTTCCTTCCTTCCTCCCGCTGCCTCCTCCCCCCTCCCATCATCATCATCAACACCCATTTCGGCACACCCCTCACACGTTTCGTGGCTCCATAGGGAGCTCCACCGAAGGCCCCAGTGCCCGCGGCCGCATGCGTCCCCCACACCCATTTCGGCACACCCCTCACACGTTTCGTGGCTCCATAGGGAGCTCCACCGAAGGCCCCAGTGCCCGCGGCCGCATGCGTCCCCCACACCCATTTCGGCACACCCCTCACACGTTTCGTGGCTCCATAGGGAGCTCCACCGAAGGCCCCAGTGCCCGCGGCCGCATGCGTCCCCCACACCCATTTCGGCACACCCCTCACACGTTTCGTGGCTCCATAGGGAGCTCCACCGAAGGCCCCAGTGCCCGCGGCCGCATGCGTCCCCCACACCCATTTCGGCACACCCCTCACACGTTTCGTGGCTCCATAGGGAGCTCCACCGAAGGCCCCAGTGCCCGCGGCCGCATGCGTCCCCCACACCCATTTCGGCACACCCCTCACACGTTTCGTGGCTCCATAGGGAGCTCCACCGAAGGCCCCAGTGCCCGCGGCCGCATGCGTCCCCCACACCCATTTCGGCACACCCCTCACACGCTTCGTGGCTCCATAGGGAGCTCCACCGAAGGCCCCAGTGCCCGCGGCCGCATGCGTCCCCCACACCCATTTCGGCACACCCCTCACACGTTTCGTGGCTCCATAGGGAGCTCCACCGAAGGCCCCAGTGCCCGCGGCCGCATGCGTCCCCCACACCCATTTCGGCACACCCCTCACACGTTTCGTGGCTCCATAGGGAGCTCCACCGAAGGCCCCAGTGCCCGCGGCCGCATGCGTCCCCCACACCCATTTCGGCACACCCCTCACACGTTTCGTGGCTCCATAGGGAGCTCCACCGAAGGCCCCAGTGCCCGCGGCCGCATGCGTCCCCCACACCCATTTCGGCACACCCCTCACACGTTTCGTGGTTCCATAGGGAGCTCCACCGAAGGCCCCAGTGCCCGCGGCCGCATGCGTCCCCCACACCCATTTCGGCACACCCCTCACACGCTTTGTGGCTCCATAGGGAGCTCCACCGAAGGCCCCAGTGCCCGCGGCCGCATGCGTCCCCCACACCCATTTCGGCACACCCCTCACACGTTTCGTGGCTCCATAGGGAGCTCCACCGAAGGCCCCAGTGCCCGCGGCCGCATGCGTCCCCCACACCCATTTCGGCACACCCCTCACACGTTTCGTGGCTCCATAGGGAGCTCCACCGAAGGCCTCAGTGCCGCCGCCCGCATGCGTCACCCCCACCCATTTCGGCACACCCCCCGCATTTCTCGCACGGCAGGGTCATCACCACGGTGGCGTGCCAGGGGCGCACCATGCGCGAAGGCGACGGGGCGGGGGAACGGCGCTCCGGGGGCGGCCAGACCTCCGGGGCGCGAGCAGTCCGCGGCCAGACCTGTGGACTCTCGCCCTGGGCCGTCGGCTGCCCGGCGCGCTGCTCACTCGGTCGACGTCGCCCAGGCGTGATCCTGGATTGCGGCCGCCACGAGGTAGGGAACGGCAAGAAGGAGGACGACGACTGGCGGCTGGAGCTCTACGTGCTGCTCTCGCGCGCCACGCGCCACGAGGACCTCCTGCTCATGCGGGCGCCGCGCATCGAGTTCTTCCTGGCAGGGCCGCCGCAGGGCTTGCGGAAGCAGCTGGAGCAGTTTGCGGCGCGCACGAAGCGGTGCAGGAGGGAAGCGACGGCCCTCGCCAGGGAGCTCGGCTTCACCGAGTTCATCCGCGAGGCCTGACCTGAGGAGCGTCTCCCCCGAGCCGCGCCTTCTCTCGACTGCCCGACTAATTGTTTGGCCTCGCGCCGCGGACGACCCGCGCGCGTCGCTGGGACCCTCTCGGGGCGACCAGCGCGCGTCGCGGGAACTCCGTGCTGCGGGGGGCCCGGCGCCTCGTTCGCCCGTCGTCGCTCTGCCCAGCGGTCAGAGACTTGCCCGCTATCAGCCAGCCAGTTAGCTAGTCAGCTCTCTCTGCTTCGCGCAGCGGACGACCCGCGCGCGTCGCTGGGGCCCCGCCCGGGGCGACCAGCGCGCGTCGCGGGGACTCCGCGCTGCGCTGCGCCCGCAGCCTTGGATTTTGGAGTGCGCGGGCAAAGAGGAAGGAAAAGAAGAGCCGAAAGCGGGCGCGATCCTCGCAAGAGGCGTGCCGACATGGGCGTCGCGACGTGCGGACGCTGCCGTCGGGGTTCCCGCGGAAGCTGCCTGCGGCGGCCACGCCCAGTGTCACGTGTGTTCGGACAGGCATGCTCGACACTTACACTAGGCGGTTCCATGATCGCATTCATGCAAATATATTCACTCGCGCGCAGACCCATTCATACTCAGATTCCCTCGCGCTCTGACTCACCCGCGTTCTTTCTCTCGTAATCAGATCTATCGTATTCCTTTGCGTTGTGTACCCCGCCACATTTCGGCACACCCCTCATGCGGTTCGTGGCCCCATAGGGAGCGCCACCGAAGAAGATACTCACAATTGCGATACTCACAACTGCATATGGTTGGGTCCTTCGCCAGGATAATTTTTTATAACCTCGACCCCTGGAGGTCTCGACCCATTCCCCTGGACCGGTTTTGCATCCTGATTCGTTTTTTGACGGTCCCGAGGGCAGGAAAGGCCCACAGAGGCCGAAAATAGCGAAAAACCTCCCGTCACGATTTACTCATCACCCGAGGGGGTCTGGGAATGCAGGCTCCTGTCGGGGTGACTGGCTCTTGCGTGCAGTCAAAACCTTTTCGGAGCGCCAGCGCGGTCACGCCAGGTAGCAGTTGCCCGCCCTCCGGAAAGTCACCGGCGGCCAGCCCCCCGCAGCGGCTCCCCTCGGCGCTGCCTGGTGATGGGGCGGGGGGCGCGCCGGTCGGCGAGGGGGGACGATACCCAAACCCCCTCGGGAAATGGATAAATCATGACGGGAGGTTTTTGGCTATTCTCGGCCTCTGGAGGCCCTTACCGGCCCTCGGGGCCGTCAAAAACTACTCAGGACGAAAAACTGGTCCAGGGAAATGGGTCGAGACCTCCAGGGGTCGAGGTTATGAAAAAATCATGCCGTCGCTGGCTCTGGGTAGGGGGGTGACTGGGAGCCTGGTTTTTAGACGCCGGCGAGTTTCCTACATTTCCAATATGCGAACGGATCTGGCGACCACGACACATCGAAGTATAGGAAAGCAAGAGCCACGAGTTCCCACAATACCGAGGCGCACATCGCCGGTAACCCACATCCCCGTTGGCCCGTCTACGGCTGGCGTTTGGACTCCGACAAATTCTCGACGCTTCGCGTGTCCCCACCAGCCCATCCAGAAACGATGTCCAGGCAAGTTGAAGAGATCAGGGAAGTGGGGGAGCAACGAGAGGGACAGCCGATCCGTGCAAAGGATGAGGCGGAAGAGGAGGCCAGATGGATAGATGAGGGGGTGGCGAGGAACCGAGCGAAGGAGGGATGAGGAGAATGATGACGCTGGGTGGATGGTTGAATGCCGCTCGGATGCCTCTTGGAAGCCTTTTGGAAGCCTCTTCGGGCGTCTTGGGGGTCTCTTGGCGGTCAATGGGGGCTCTTGGGCGTCTTGGGTGCTTCGGGGGGGCCTCTTGAGGCCGCTTGGGATCCTCTTGGGGGGCTCTTGGGGGCCTGTTGGAGGCCTCTTGGGGCCTCTTGGGGGTCTCTTGGAGCTTCATGGCGGCCTCTTGGAGCCTCTTGGAGGCCTCTTGGAACCATCCTGGGAGCCTCTTGGAGCCTCTTAGGGGGCTTCTTGGGGCCTCATGGCGGCCTCTTGGGGCCTCTTGGAGGCCTCTTGGAAGCCTCTTGGGGCCTCCTGGGCGCCTCTTGGGGCCATCTTGGAGGAGATCGATCAAAGAAGAGGGTGGGGTTCATTAGCCCCGCCCCCCCAAGAGGCCAACATGGGGCCAAAACCCTAGCAAAACCAATGATTTTGGCTTCCTCGCCGAGGCCGTTTTGGACGCTCCAACTACCAGCGAAACCCCCCGTCCAAGTCCAGGGGAGGGGGTTAGGGGGGGGTAAACCCCTCCCCGAAGGGGAAGAAGGAGGGGTGGAAGAGGGAATTCCCGGAACCACCTACGCCCAGAGGGCTGGTGGGATTTACTTGCATGGACGGGGAGGGGCTGAACCTGAAGCAGGCCGCAAACGACCTGCACGTGAGTCGAAAGGCACTTGCACGCTCGTGCTCGTGTGAAGAGGGGCGCGGAGGGGGGGTGGGGGGCCGGGGGGGGGCGGGCGCCGAACGCCATGCAAGTAAACTTGCTCGAGTCCAAAAGAAAACAGGCTCATACTTAGGGGGTGACGGGCTCACGGGGGACACCGCGCGCGACTGGAGGATCCAGCGCGCCGAGGGCGGCGGCGACCCCCCTCCCCCGCGGCGCAAACAGCCTGGCCACTGCCCAGAAGAGCCCTGACGTGACCGCTGGGCGGCGCGCCAACTCCTCCTCCTCCCCCCTCCTCCCTCCTCCTCCTCCTCCTCCTCCTCCTCCTCCTCCTCCTCCTTCTCCTCCTCCTCCCTCCTCCTCCTTCTCCCTCCTCCTCCTCCTCCTCCTCCTCCTCCCTCCCTCCCTCCCTCCTCCTCCTCCCTCCCTCCCTCCCTCCTCCCCCTCCTCCCTCCCTCCCTCCCCTCCTCCCTCCCTCCCTCCCTCCCTCCCTCCCTCCCTCCCTCCCTCCCTCCCTCCCTCCCTCCCTCCCTCCCTCCCTCCCTCCCTCCCTCCCTCCCTCCCTCCCTCCCTCCCTCCCTCCCCCTCCTCCTCCTCCTCCTCCTCCTCCTCCTCCCTCTCTTCCTCTCCTCCTCCTCCTCCTCCTCCTCCTCCTCCTCCTCCTCTTCCTGCTCCTCCTCTTTTCCTCCTCCTCCTCTTTTCCTCCTCCTCTTTTCCTCCTCCTCCTCCTCCTCCTCCTGCTCCTCCTCCTGCGGGGGGGGGATGGAGGGCAGAACATCCACCCCCATAATAATCACCCCGAGAAGCGAGGCCGCTTAGTAAGCGCACCTAGAGGAAGAATCGAACAGGGCAGGGCTGTTTCGCAAACGCCCAGGACCGTTTAGGAAACGCCAAATATCGGGTCCGGGTGTTTTTCCCTCCCTGGAGGCGGGGGGCCCAAACCCCTGGCGTCGTGCAAACATCGGCTCCGCAAGAGTGATCCTGGGTAAGAGTGCTATTTGGTGCGCGGCCTTTGGTGGGGCGCGAGGGGGCTAAGCCCAAAACGCGCAGGCCGCTGTCATCGCATGTCCGCGATGCGCGGCAAGGATGCCAGGGCCTTGGAGTGCCACGCCGACCCCCTTCGAGCCGTGCGCGGCCAGCGAGAGCGGCCAAGGACGGCCCGAAGGGGAAGGATGCAGGGGCAACCCTCCTTGGAGAGCCGCTTGTCCTGACCGTGCCGGTTGGCTCGGACTTCTACTTTGTGTGTGTGTGTGCCCCGTCTCCCGCCCCCCGAAAAGAACGTCGGGGTCGGGCCACGCAGGGCCTACCCCCGAGCACGCCACGTCCCGAGGGTCGCGTCCTGGCCGGAACTCCGAGGGCAACCCTGGAAAGATAGGGGGCCACGTGCGAGCCGCACCCCCTGCCCCCCACGCTTTCTGAGGGGGAGGGGGGGGGGTCACTTCGCTCGGGAGCTCCCCTCCCCCTCAGAAATCGCAGGGGGTAGCTAGGGGCAACCCTTGGAAAGCCGCTCGTCCTGACCGTGCCGGCTGGCTCAGACTTCTACTCGTGTCCTGGCCGGAACTCCGAGGGCAACCTTGGAAAGATAGGGTAACCTGTCTGCGGTCAGTTGTTGCGGATTCGTCCTCCGCTTCCCCCACTTCTGCTGCGGGGCGTCTCGGGGGCCTCTTGGAGGCCTGGGGAGCAGCCTTTGGGGGGTTTTTGAAGGGGCCACATGCGAACCCTCCCCCTCAGAAATCGTAGGGGGGGGTATGGGGTAGGGTTCGCACGTGGCCCCCTAGAAGACGGTCAGCCTTACTGAGAGCCCCTTTTGTTTTGACTCCAGCAAATTTGCTTGCGCGGACGGGGGGGGCCCTGAGCCTGAAGCAAGCCGCAGACGACCTGCACGTGCGAAAACCACGCGAGTCGAAAGGCACGCGCACGCTGGTATTCGTTAGAAGAGGGGCGAGACTTGCACGTGCGGAAAGCACGCAAGTCGAAGGGCACTTGCCTTGCACGCCAGTGCTCGTGTGGAGAGGGGCGCGAATGGGGGGGGGGGGGGGGGCGAACGCCATGCAGGTAAGCTTGCCTGAATCTAAAAACCCAGACCCCCGACGTCATGATTTTCTTCAGAACCTCGACCCCTGGAGGTCTCGACCCATTCCCCCGGACCGGTTTTGCATCCTGATTTGTTTTCTGACGGTCCCGAAGCCCGGCGAGGGCCCTGGAGGCCGAAAAGAGCGAAAAACCTCCCGCCGTGATTTTTTGACCGCGCGAGGGGGTCTCGGTCAGGGGGTGGGGGGGGGGGCCCGAGCCCCTCGCGTCGTGCCAACCCGCGGCGGGAGGTGCTCGGCGCCTCCCCGCCTCCGCGGAGGCCCCCCTCGCCGGCCAGACCCCGCGGCCGACTCCGGCGAGACGTGCCGGCGCCAGGGGGGAGGAGGTCCAGGCCACGGAAGACATTAGCGAACACTCATGCCACATTCATCTGTCAATGCCCCCCCCAATGATCAATGCAGGCGGCGGGCTGAATGAGTTGCATTGAAACCGCAGTCTTCCCCGCGCGTGCCACCTTGGAGTTGGGGGGGATTGGGGAGCGTCCACTGATTGCTCCCTCCTACCGTCTGGAACAACAGAGCAACGGGGATCACGGCGTCGGGTGTCTGGGGTCCCAGACCCCCTCGGGCAATGACAAAATCATGAAGAAAGGTTTTTGTTGCTATTTACGGCTTATGGGGGGCCTTACCGGCCCTCAGGACCGTCAACAACACGACTCAGGATGAAAAACCGGTTCAGGGAAATGGGCCGAGACCTCCGGGGGCCGACGTGATGAAAAAATCATGACGTCGGGGGTCTGGGATGGGCGGTGGCTCTCCGATGGATTGACGGCGGCGGTCCCCTGGCGGCGGAGATCCGCGCGCTCCTCTGGGCGGGGCTGGGACACCCAAGCCTTCCCATCGGCGAGGAGTGGGGATCGTGCTTTCCTCGCATCGTGGACCCCCAGAGATCTGGGCCCGCATCGGCGATGCTGCGCGATCCTCCGACCCCATCTACTCGGGCCCCAGGGTTGCCCTCCAGGACGTTTTGTTGTTGTTGGCTTGGGTGGGGCGCTTTCGGCAGACCTTCCAGCAGCCGCGCGGCCCTCGAGGACTGTTTGGTGTCTCTTCTTTGCTGGGGTTCGAAGGCGGCCTGGGGCGATCCTCAAGCCGCCAGAGGCATCGTTTTGCCCTCGAGGACTGTTGCTAAGATTTGTTGGGCGTCCTGGGGCAATCCTCTTGCGGCCCGGGGCCCCGTTTTGCCCTCGAGGACTGTTGCTAAGATTTGTTGGGCGTTCTGGGGCAATCCTCAAGCGGCCCGGGGCCCACTTTTGCCCTCGAGGACTGCTTGGTGTCTCTTCTTTGCTGGGGTTCGGAGGCGTTCTGGGGCGATCCTCAAGCCGCCAGAGGCATCGTGTTGCCCTCGAGGACTGTTAATCCTCAAGCGGCCCGGGGCCCCGTTTTGCCCTCGAGGACTGTTGCTAAGATTTGTTGGGCGTTCTGGGGCAATCCTCAAGCCGCCCGGGGGCCTGTTTTGCCCTCGAGAACTGTTGCTAAGACGTGTGGGCGTCCTAGGGCGATCCTCAGGCCGCTGGGGGCAATGTCTTGCCCTGAAAGGCGGTTGCTAAGACTACCACCAGGGCGAAAGGATTGCCAAAGAGACTCTCTT